ATCTATCTATATTTAACGTTGTGTCTTTTATCTAAATATGCAACATTTGAAACTACAAATCATCTTTTAATGGTCTGTTATAGCAACTAATTATATCTGGATCTTCGGCATTATCGACAAAAAATGTACTATTTTGACAGAGTCCGGCAGCTTCTCTTTAGATCACGAACTTTTTCTATAATTAACTTTGGTAACTAATCGGTTTAAAACAAAGTTGGTCCAGGCGAATCAGATCTAATCAATTCATATTGATATATAATTTAATACTACAAGCTTTAGACTTTAAAGCTCTGTATCTATTTAAAATTCCTATGTATTAAAATTTAAAAAATGATGTGATCATTAATGAGTGTTAAATCCTGTAATTTTGGGAAATACTATTTCCAAGTATAATATATTCAATAATTTTTATAAGAGCTACTTATATATTTTATTTGTGTTATGTGTATAAATGAACTAATATTATCATTCATTTCAAGTGAAAGGATAAAAATAATAAACCTTGAACGGTTTTTAAAATATCTACGCTATGCAGAATAATTATGAAATAGTTTTAATAAATTTAATATTTTTATAGCAATCAATACTGATCTGTAAAGGATTTTTTTCATGAAAACAAATAATTCCAAGACAATAATTGAGTGAGCTAATTCAACCATTGGATTTAGTTTAGAATCGTATTAAAACTTGCATGGAGTTTATACATGATAAGAAATTATTGTTTTGTGTTTGGAGAACAATGCACGAGAATAACAAAGGAACGAATGATAATTTATACATACGTATACACACACACACACACACACACACACACACACACATATATATATATATATATATATATATATATATTATACTAGATACTAACAAGTGTTCGTTCGGTTGATCCAGACAAAAAAAATTGATCGAAAGACAAAAGGATTTTTCAACTATAAGTCGTAACAGTTTATAGGCTTTTCATAAAATTCTTATTAATATCTTCTTTTGCTGTATATATATACATATATATATATATATATATATATATATATATATATATATATATATCTGATACATGTATTCGAATATGAAGGGTATTATAACCCAATTTACTCTCACAAAATAAAAATAGATTTATTAATATGATGGATAAGATATATCTAATTTTCATTTGCTGAAAACTACAAAGCTACAAATATGTATTACATACATAACCACAATATAAAGACAAACTGAAAGTTGAACAAAAAATTTGAAAGAAAAACTGAAATAAGATGATTCAATAAATTCTCTCTAAGCGCAGGACAAGCCGCAAAGATGAAACATGTAGTACATATAAAAAGCGAGGGCGTGAGTCAGCTTTCAACATCTCAGTTGTGATATATGTTTCGACATTAGTTAAACTGTCTATCAAATATATTATGAAATCGATATCAAAAACGATTAAATAAATCACATTTAAATAACAATTAATTACAATTCTTGTCGAACTCATAATTCATACAGACTTCGCGAGTGGGGTATACCGCGCTGCGCCGCAGCTCCAACATGTTACGGTATTGCATGTTTGCCATTTTATTTTTAGTATTTATGTAAAAATAGCAATGAAAGTATTGCGTGAATGACCGACATGTATTAATAATTAAGTGTTTGACTCAAATTTAAATTTTATAGAATATTAAACAAGACAACCGGGTTTTGTTTGACATTTTCGACTCATGTATGACGTTTTCAACAAAATCATACAAATGGAACTGATTAAATGAGAATGATATATGCCACCTGTCCATATAGAATTTATACAGAAAATGCATGAGATTAATTACGTACGATTAATGATAACTTGGCATTATTTTGCAAAATACAAATGAAGCCTGTGTTAAGGAAGTGCGCTGACAAATTCAATGAATAATAAATCTATAATGCTTCAACATTATGTGGTTCTATGAAAGCCAGTTTTATGACAGCATCACTTCATAAATCCGTAATTATACAAAAGGCTTTTTGATTAAGGTTGTCATCGTACGCACTTAATTAGCAAACGAACTATATTCAGTTCGTGAGGAACTACTGTCAGTGAAACTTGTCTTTTAGTACAGTGAATTCGAAGATAGCTCTAAATGTGCAGAACTGCAAACGCTTGTCAATAGATTTGGAAGAGTTGCTGATCATAATGGAAATGTTGATATGTTGTACGGGGTAGCATTGATACATCAAGTTGTCTTGCTTCAGGCGAACGGCGGCTATTAAAATATTAGCCGGTGAGACGAAGAGCGCAGCCACCCGCGGCGTGAATAAAAATCCCTAGGCGCAAGGACCAAATGGTCCGACTCTAAACCGCTCCGTTTGAGTGTTATTCAGTAATTAATTTCCCATGGAACGAAACATCCTCCCGAGCAGAAGTTAATATATTAAGGCGAGGAATATCGTGCACCGCACGGAATGACTTCGGTTGTTCAAAGTATACATATCTAGCGCGGCGTGCGTGGGCGGCTTTTAATTAGATTAGTGATATATATATACATATACGAGCACTCAGTTATAAACTTGATAGAAGTGCTTGCTCACGGAAATAATAAATTATTAGCCTTTCTTCTCCGCTTTACGTTGGACTGTACATTTAGATGCTCTGTTGAAACACAAATGTATAATTAGATTAGCTTGATGGGCTGGGGAGGCGAAAAACAGGGATTCATTAATTTTGCTATTAGCTAAAGCTTGTGAAAAATTTATGTCGCAGATAATTCGGTGTGTCACAGCTTGGTTCCAGGATAGAGCCATATATCAGCGACAATATTATTCGCGGTTGAACATTGGCGTGCGATTTGAAAGTGTCTTGCGCCATATAATAGTACAAGTAGACACATAATATAATATCGTGCATATAAGTCTAGACTGCAGTTCATGCGCGCGAAGTAAATGTCTAGACGCCGATATCAGGTTTCTCAATCTTATAACATTTATATCAATATTTACTGAAATTTTACGATGCTACTATTATCCTAAATTTATAGTGTATTATGCGTATCCAGCCGTTAAATTGAGGAGGTGCATTAAATGGAAGCTACATTGAAGTTCTAACATTTAAGAGAAAATGAACACACCTGAACATAAAGTTGAAAACGACAAATATGCCATACATTCAAAAATATTCACTTTTTTTATTCGGCAATTGATCCGCATTAAATCAATAATTTATTGGTTGTTCAAGCCATCACCCATTAAAGTGTTCTCACTATTATGATCGTAAATATAATGTTTATTTATGCGTCACGATATAGTGAGAATTTATTGATAACGATCTTAGTAAACCACTAATATCAAAACGTTGTTTATAAATGACTATGTGTGCGCATTTAATTATACATTGAATTAAAATTCTGCTTCGAACCATGCTGATTCTATACCTACAATTTAGTTATTTATCGACATTATGACAAGATATGAAAATTATTTATTGAGCAGACAAGTGAATGAATAAACGTAATTGAATGATTTATTACGCTGAATTGTAGTTGCATCACAGAATTATTTCATTACATTCTAGACATTATTAATGTAGAATTTAAATACATACAAACATACACACATATATATATATATATATATATATATATATATTAAAGCTAAAAAAGTATTTAATCTATAAAATTTAATTCCAATCGATTGAGTTTATGCAATTTGACTAATCTAAAATTTAAATCTAAATTTTAAAAATTTAGAATTAAAATTAAAATCTAAAAAAAGGATGATGATATTTTCAAATGGTAAATGGTAGTATTTCAATATATATTTTGAAGTAAAAAAATAAGAATTTTGTATATCACCATTTAACGGTAGATTTACGCATATCCGTTCCAACCACCCAAGACCGACCACGTAGATTCACATTTTTACATGACTTTTTAGTAAGTTGTATTAAAGCTTTTTTATGCAAACTTGTATTTGTTCTTGATATTATTATTTATAGTACGATATCTTTATTGTTATTAAAAAAAAAATAATTTACTTAATAAAATTTATTGTAGTTACAATGCTTTGAATCCACGTTTAACTAGATCCTCTGGAAAATGCCCGGAAACTAGATTAGGCAGAACATATTCAATTCCGTGCTTGTTAGTACAAAAATTTAAATGGAATAAAATTCCGTAAATTCATCAAGATATTAACTTTTTTTTTCTTCAAAGAAAAAGAAATAATTATTATTGAAAGAGTGATGAAAATTAATTATCTGTTTCGAGAGCATATTTTCGAATTGATTAATTGAATATTCAGAACTAGAAATATATGTTGATTTATATGAGAATGAATAAAAGGTTGTTATATTTCGCGAATTTTTATTTTATTATTATTTTTGAACAGCAATCAGAACCTAATAGTTCTATAAGCTGTTTTGTTGATTTTGACTTAATACTAGTCTGTTTGACAGATGGCAACCCAATCAGTTATCACATCTCTGTATGATGTATTATTATTACAATTTCTGTAATAGGGCTAGTATTTTTATTGGTGCAGCAATGCTGGGTGAGGGCTATTTTCACTTGGAAACATATTGTTATCTATATTTCCAAGTGAAAATCGGTGTCACTGTTGCCTGACAACAGGCTGCTAGAAGTGGGTATCGAACCCGGGACCTCTGAAACAAGTTCCATCGCTCTTATCCGCTTACCTAGGGGCGAGCATTACGCGAATCAAAGAAATTTTCAACGTAAACAATAAATCAAATATTTAAATAATAAAATGAAATTATACATATTTGCAACTAACGACTAGTAATTATGTATAGCCTACATCTACTAACTACAAATTTAACATTCTTATAAGATCTTTGGCAGCTTTGCTAGTCTACAACTACATAAGACAAAACTTCGAAAAAAGTTCACATTCTCAATAATCAGTAGAGCAAATAAAGAAAACATAGGTGCATGCCGTTAATGGTCGTGCACGAAACCGTTTTGTTGCCCAAGTCCGCTTGTTCTCTATTAACGATCAGTTGATGATAATTGTGCTTTTGTTCACAGCCTGCCAATGTAATCAGCACGCCCGACGTTGTCGATTCAACATGGAACTGTACAAATTATCCGGCCGTGTTTCCGGCGGCGTGTGCCTCAAGTGCCGCCACTTCACGGCGGGACGGCACTGCCACTATTGCAAGGAGGGATACTACCGCGACCCCAGCAAACCCATCAGCCACAGGAAAGCTTGTAAACGTAAGTCAAAATAATAGTACTACATTTTATATTTTTACATGTCCATTTTTTTATTTATATCTCTACAATGTTGTCAATGATCAAGCATGATTTGAAATTTTATGGCATGATGTATATTTTGAAACTTAGTAAACCAGGAATATCGTTAATGTCATCGACATAATCGTTATCAACAGAGTACTAAGCCACCTACCGCTGCGGTTATTCTACATATTTTTTTAAAATATGACTTAGATTTTTTAAATTTATTTAATCAATTCTATTAATATGATGTCTTAATGACAGTGATAATTACGACCAGTACTGAAAAAATTTGATTCAGTTAGTTTACCGGTATCGTTAAAATTAAAAACAAAAACCGAGAAATTTCTTTTTAGTTTCTAATTTTTAATAAGTCATATATATATGAATGCACCATGAAGTTTTTGAAATGTTGCATATTCGTGCAAGTTCTAATTATATTAATTGCATATGAATTATGAATTATATGCTTTACAGAGTGTCCCAAAACTAAAATGTTGAGCCAAAATGGGGCGATAGTAATAAACGTAACTATCATGAGAAAAAAAAGATTTAAAAAGTTTTCTAAAATATTATTCAATGTAGTTTGAAAATTTGCAACTTTTAAGTGCAACCTAGAGCTTCGGCAAAACTGGACCATTTTTCGGTTATTGTGGTGAATTTTTATTAATATTGTTCATTTAATTTTTTTATCCGTAATCGTAAATATTTGACCATAGTCAAAACTTTGAAAATTTAAAAAATTTTAAATTCATAGTTTTTTTGATTATAGAAAATTTGAATAAATTGTGCGTTTGTTTTTGTTTGTGGTTCTAGAAATGTATTTACGGTTATGAATCTAAAGTTTAAATGAACAAAATTAACAAAAATTAACTACAAGAACCGAAAAATAGTCGCAGTTTATCCAAAGCTCTAGGTTGCACTTAAAAGCTCGTAATTTTCAAACTACATAGAATATTTTTTTCCATTACATTTACGATCAATGATTTCTGGGACACTGTATATAATATATATATATATATATATATATATATATATATATATATATATATACATCTTTTTCGTGAAATACCATAAGATTGTAGCCAACTTATTTCTCAGTTTTGTAAAATATTATTTAAAACGATCTGATTTTGCAAGCTTTACCTTCCTACCGATTTAATTTATATGATGTATTTCTACTTAAGTGATGTTATACGTATTTATCAAAATAATTTCTATTCCTGCGCAAGAACAATTACATTTGCTGTACCATATTTGGTACAGAATGTACTATAAGTTTAGTACTTTGACATTTTCATAAGCCAAGTATGAAATAACTTTGAAGCTAAAATTAATATAAGATATTACGATAATTATTGTAATAATATATATAATTTCAATTTACGTAAAATTCGATGAATTTTTAGCAACTTTAATCGTGATATTTACTTGACATATTTTGCTTTAATGCTATGTTTCAGTTATTAGATAGAAAATGGAAACGGATAAAATAGATTTACAAAGTATAATAATATACATCATAGAAATAACAACTAAAGCTTTATTTCGTAGTTTTTTTTAATTTTTTTTTTTGAATTAATAAATAATTTAACATTCAGTATTAAAAATACGAAGAAATAATATTTTATTTAGTTTATACTCTGCGTAATATTTTTAACGTATAGTAAATAATTGTGTATATGATTTGGCGGGACACAAAGGTTCAATTTTACTTTTGAGCAATTATAATGTGAAAACCAAACACATTATATCACAACAAATAGCACATATTAAACAAACAACTGTCTGACTATGTTCAGTAAAACTCCCAGCATATTCTTCATTGTAGAAATCAGTGTTTTTTTTTTGCTGTTGCTCAAAAATTTGTCACCTGTTCGGAGTAAAATGGGACAGCCAAAGGACAAATAGGTCCAGTGTCTTATTTTCAATTTTAAATGGATTATACGTAATAATAGCTACATTATTCAACCAATGCAAAATATAAACTTGATGGGTGAAATATTCATCAGCAAAGTTGGAATTGTTACTTAATTAATTTAAATCTAGTGAATTTGCTTTCTCTAACTTAATTAACTGTTTTTATTCACTATTTTTGTTGTTTACACCTTCGTCAGGATGAAGGTTCTTTTGGTCCTTTCTACCTCACGCCCGTGTAAGCTTTTATAGAGGTTATATACAAAACTGCTGAATCTTTTTCCTGTTGTTGAAAAATTCTAAACTCTATTTGATTTTAAGACTCGCTCTAAATAATTTCTCTATATTATTTATGAATCAATGAAGTTTTCGCGAAATGACTAAATGTAAAACGAAAAGTGAAAAATTAATTAATATGCATAAAACCTCAATGACATTATGTTTAACACATCAAATTACCTTTGTTTGTTTAGAACTTTGCCAAACAATTTCAAAAGTAATTACTTATGCGTTTATCTTAGAGAAATCTGAATAAGAATTTCAAACATCGTTGACAAAATGTTAATTGACAAGTATAAATATATATGTAGAACAATTGAGTTTGAGATTTTTCTAAAACTTATCACTTTCGCTCCCGAGGCGAGCGCACCAGTATACATAAAGTGTAAATATTCCGAGAACAAGGTATATTTACTTTTTGCTTTCGATATTTTTCCCTTTACTTTTGTCGCGTTCTGAGTTCTTGTAACCCACACGTGCGCGGCGATGATACATAGTTATTTGGTTCTATATGCGGGTTTAACACTCTTGTCAATGCCGTAATAAAATCGAACAAGGTGTCACATTTTGCAAAACACGTTAAATCCATTTGTAAGACTCATAAATAATTTAGCGTGCCATCGTGTACGTTATCGACTTTTTCTTCTCTCGTCTTAAGAACGAGTTATCAACAATATGCAAGAGAAATAACTTAGGCTGCGCGGACTTGATTAATGAACGCAAGCGCGACTGATTGAAATATAGCTTTATCATTCCGACATTTATAGATTCATAAAACTGTATACATTCATGACATAGAAAATCAATAAAAAATAACAACTAATGTCATATCACATACAGAATCCCTGTTACTGAATCATCAAACGATTCTAATTTAAATCGTGACAATCTACATAAAATATTGAGCCATCGATTAAGCGCATTGCGTACGTTTCACTAGATTTGAATAAGAATCTCGTTTATACACATGTATTAATTAACATAAAATTTGTTATGCAAATTATTATTAATTCATATACCATTAATTATTGAGTTATTGGTTCACATTGAGATTTAAATTTACATTAATTTATTGATTCAATAAATATCACATTCTTTAAATTTATATTAGTTTTTTCTATACCATGAAACAAAAATATAAATTTATATAGGTAAATAAGTTAAAAAAGAGTACATTTATGATAATTCAGCTGTATTTGTGCTCGAAGAAAACATTGCAGTAATTATCTCAAATTTTGTAATGAGACCAATTATACTTATTAATATAATTGGTAATAACTGAATCAGTTATGCAATAAGCTAAGCTCACTACATTTTCTCTGCAAAGTTCATACATTTTAACTAATATTTTGCTTTATTTTACGAACATGATGATCATCACGCACCTGCCTTAGGGATGTACTACCCATTATTATATATAAATATATATAATAGTTAAACATATGGCTTTGATAAAATGGTAAATTTTTAATTACTCTGCTTTTTACTTGGTTTTATGCCTGAATTAACTTTTCCATATATTGTTTACTTATTGAAGAATTTTTATTAAAACAATTCGTCAAATATAATTTAATTCCCACGCTTAGTAAATCTCAGTATTCAAGATAATTAATTAATCACAATACAAATAATTTGTATTATTAGTTATTAGTTGTCTTACCAAGCGCTTGGTGGATGCGCGTTGCGCCACGATCGAAAATCATGGTATCTATTTCAGTGCCTTCAACAATTTATATCTGCTTTGAAGAATCAGTATTCATTTTACATTTTAGTATCTGATATTAATGATCGATAAAACTGTTGAGTTTTTATTGGTGGGCAATGACTATCCACATCAATGAACCGTTTGCCGATAGTGCGCGCTTTGGTTATGTAGAAAGTTTACAGAGTACTCCACCTACATGGCATGCAGTCAAAACTTGTTTATTTTCTGTAGATAACTCATTAAGTATTCAACGTGCAAGATGAACGAAATTTCCCTGAGCTCGTTATTAAATCATTCAATAAACACTGGGTCTCACCATAACCTATATACGAGGTCTGTTCAAAAAGTACCCGGAATTTTCGTTTTTTCAAAAAAATATTTATTTATGTGGTCCCCTTCAAAGTAGTCCCCCCCAGATATAATACACTTATGCCAGCGTTTTTTCCAATTTTCGAAGCACCCTTGATATTCACTTTTTGATATGTCCTTGAGCACTCTCAGCGATTTTCTTCAATCGAGGAAAACCGCCGTCCTTTCATGGGTCTCTTCAACTTTGGGAATAGGAAAAAGTCACACGGAGCCATATCTGGTGAATTTTTGCACTTTGCAACACTTTATTTCATTTTTTACGCAAAATTTAATACAAATTCTTTGACTTTTCAATTCTTCCATTGTAAAAATCGCCGAGCTCAGAAAAACACGTCGAACCTTAGCGACTACCACAGACAAAGTAAACAGTGAATATAGCTGAAAATTTCATCATACTTTAGGGGCATGTATACCAACACAATAAAAAAAAAATTTTGACAATCAGACACTCCAGACCCGCGAAATTTAATTATTAGTAATTCCGGGTACTTTTTGAACACACCAACAATTATGAGTAACCGTGGTCGTGTAATAATTCTATTAGCAACTTGTTTTGTCACATACGAGTATATGAGCAATCTGTAACGCATGCAAGTGCCGAAGACCTACTTTAATCGAACACAATAATCTGATGTAATAAAATATGTGATGATAATCATAATATACGAGAGGAATTGATTACATTTTATTGCACATAATTAAAAATAGT